GTGTAATATGTGTGGCTAGGGGCTGTAGAAAGTGAGAGAGTGTGTGTATAGGGAGTATAGTGTGTATAGGGGATGTAGCGAGAGTGTGCATATGGGTTGTAGTGTGTGTATATAGGTGACGTAGTGTTTGTAGGGATGGTAGAGAGTGTGTGCTTAGAGTATGTAGTATGTGTTTGCTTACAAGTAACCTAGTGTGTGCATAGGGGATCCAGAGTGTTTATGTCCAGAATGTAGTGTGTGTGTAGGTGGTGCAGTGTGTGTAGATAATCCAGAGTTAGGTAAGGAATCTAACGTGTTTCTGGAATGTAATGTGTGTAGGAGTACAGTATGTGTGTGAGGGGTGCAGTGTGTGTGAGGCGTGCAGTAGTATATATATATATATATATATATATATATATGTGTGTATATATATATATATATATATATATATATATGTATATATAAATATATATGTATGTATGGAAGTATTGTGTTTGTGTACAAAAACAAACTTATTTTTAAATAAATAACGTATGTGATGACAACAGATCCGACCAAATCAGTGAGTCCAAGGTATATTAGTGCCCCGACGTGTGTGTTGCCGGTTTGGCGGCTCTTCTGGGTTTAAGGGTTCTGTGTGTAGGTGCTGTGTGTGTGTGTGTAAGTGCAGTGTGTATGTGAGTTGTGCTGTATGTATGTGATGGGTGCAGTGTCCGTGTGTGTGTGTGTGAGGGTTGCAGTGTGTGAGAGAGGTGCATTGTGTGAGAGGGGTGCTATGTGTGTGTGAAAGGGGTGCTGTGTGTGGGTGCTGTGTGTGGGAGTGCAGTGTGTGTGTGCAGGGTGCAGTGTGTGTCTGTGTGAGGACTGCACTTTGAGTGAGGGTGTGAGGGTGTTGTGTGTGTGTGTGTGTGTGAGAGGTGGGCTGTGTGTGTGTCTGGGAGCTTTGCTGGTTCTTCCTGGTGGTCCTAGTGGTGAGTGAACTCTAGCCTGCATGGCAATGCTCTGACCTCGCAAAAGTGCCTTCTCTCCCTCCCCAGCATTTCAGTGCTAGTGGGCATCATGGCACACAGCAGGGCCGACGCTTGGATATTGTCAGCTCTCCATGGGCTGGCAGGTGAGATCCTGTGATCTCCCCTGCCGGCCTTGTCCCACGGCTACCCAATGGCCAGTCCAGGCCTAAACCTATCTATCCTCACATGTGTGATTTACTTTTTCAAAAGAGATTGCAGAACTCCTTGACACTCCACTAGCTTAGGAGCAAATATTTGGGACAGTTTAGGCAACAAAGCCAGGCAAGTTCCAAGGACCTGATGTGCTGTCCCTATGCTACTATAGATGATTTGCAGAGCTACATTACCCACAATTTTTGAATGCATTTAATGTGATATAAAACAGACACAAGATCTCTGCCCAGACGCTGACAGAGAGACATCACAATTATCCCAAAAGAGGGCAAGGATGGTGTGGTGAGCAGTTCGGGAATTATAGACCAATCTCACTACTTGCATCTCCTCACTAATACAGCTAGACCAAGTGGAATTTGTGCCAAACAGGGAGGCCTGAAACAATACTGTGCAGGTGCTGATTCTGATCCAGAGTAAAAGAAGTATGTAATGTGTCTTTACCTTTATGGTGAGGTGATACTTACCCATATTACCTTGATCTTGTAGCATCTCTGTGTGCTTAAGTTGCAAGTCTCCTATTTATGGTTATTTTACAATGTCATTTTGTTACTATTCCATAACTAGTAAAGGGGTATGTCTGCTAAGTGGTGATATATACTTTTTAAACGTGTATGTTGTTGTATTTGTTTTATACTGATTTATTGTTTTTCAGATTACTATTCAGACAAACATAAAAATGTAAATTATGGAGGGGGGGAGGGGGGGGGGCGGACCTTCAAGTGAGCCAGATGTGAAACGCTGGAGCTCCTGCACTACTAATCGATAAAAGGGTATTACACCTGATTTACTGGCTACGGAGACCCGCTCTAAGTGTTCCTGAAAGCAGAGGACCCCTGGGCAAGCTGTCTGTTACTTCACATAAGGACTTGTCCTGTTACATACCTGGGAGTACTGTTATGGCCTGCTGCAAGCGGAGCAGGGGAGAAGCGGACGATCTTCCTGCACTCTGGTTCTGGACTTGGTTCGACAGCACACCTATCCGGTGGGGGTTATCCCAGTCTCCTCGGAGCTGATTAAGCACACCTACTGATACTCAGAAAAAAAATGAGAACGTTGCAGTGACCAGCTCTCCGGGATCTCAAAATGGCGGATGCCCTCCATTTGGAGTCACACACTGCGAGTTCCATCCAGGGGGATTCCGGTGACTTTGTCACTGAAGTCCTGACACAGCTCGACCAGATCTTTCAACGCTTTTGGCTCAAACTCCAGCGAAACATTTTGGCCAGGGAGAGAGTAAGGAGAGGCGGGCAACCAGAGACACTCAGGGCACATTGACAGTGAAGTAACATGTGCACTCAAATGTCTGCCTACCCAGGCCGAGAGCCACACAGGACTCAAAAGCCCTACATCACCCACAAAGATGGAAGAACGACCGCGCATAGCGGCGAACAACACCTACATCCTCCGATCGCCGTAAGAAAGGGACAGGCTTGGACTCTAGAAGCACCCAAGTCAATGGTACACAGATGCCGGCTCTCACCCGGATCTGGGGCTGGAGGGGCACCCAACTCTGGAGCAAAGTCATCTCTGGCCGTGCAGCAAGCAGCGCGCACTCAGAGAAACTGGTCACTAACACCCTAACAAGCAATGTGTTTCTAATTTAATTTGCTGTCACCACCATTTTTCTTTTCTTTTCCTTATAAGGTGGAATAGTAGAGAGTAGTCAAGTTATATAACCGAGGTTCTAAATTTATCTTGCCAAACAAGACCATGCTAAGCACTAAACTCTAATCATCACAACCTAATTTGCTTATGACCTACTGTTTTGAAACCTTCTATTCGTTCACAAGCCTCTATCACTAGTCATAGCTAGATATGTTTTCTTTGCATGGTTCTACGCCTGTCATTATAATCCATAAAAATTGTGCATGTTCTCTCTAAATGCCTCCTCACATGTAAGCTATGAATTATTATGTTTGTGTCAACTGCAGTTGTGGCATGACATGATTCCTTGTACACCTTTGCACAGCAAAAATAATAAATAAATAAAATGAAAAAAAATTAAATTATGCAAATATATACTTTTTATTTATCATTTATTACTATGATCATTATACATAATTTCTAATAGAATAGAGCGCTTTAGACAATGTATAATATTTCCCATCTTTCCAAATTTTTCTCAAGGTATAAAATTACTAAAAATGGCAACACTTTATATAAATAATGTCTGCATCTGAACAGAATCCCCAAATACAGCTAAATGACAGCTAAATCATATAGTATATATATATATATATATATAAAAAACAAATGGATTCAAAAATGTGTTATAAGAATCTTTGTAATGCTAATGCTATTCTAAAAGTCTCCTCCCTCTCTCATTTTATGAATGGTATGTTCTTTTGGAAGGGGTACTGGCCATATCAAAACATCTGCAGACATTAAACGGTTATAATGAGTTCCTAGTAGAGAAATGTGTTCATATACAAGCTGGTAGTTGTCCTGAAGAATAAATATAGGTAAGTGAGGCTTTATAGACCAAATTATGTTTTACAAAGCAAATAAAAGTAAAAAATATATACACCCTTTTGGTAGTGAAGGAGTTATTTTACAGAATGTGTTTATAATTATCCAGAAGTCAAAGACTCCCATTACTTCAACAATTGTGAGACCAAGCATTAACTAGCTTACGTGGAAAGTTTTGGAGAGAGGAGTGTGCAGTAGAGTAAGGCCTTCTTTATTCTTCAGAAAAATGGAAGACTTCCATTCATTCAAAATTAGTTCAATATGTTACTGTATATAGTTCAAAGCATGTGTACAACATTTCTAAAAGTATTTAAACTTTTCTAATTATAAATAGTGGATACACTTGTTATTACGTTCTTTACTGTCCACATGCATTTTGCCCTTTACATGTCTCCTGTTGAATACACATGAATCAATCTCCCCAAAAATCACTAATGGGATGGCTCAGAAAGTCAGGAAAAAAAAGATTTTCCAGATCCAAGTTCTTCAGAAGGTAAAAGAGAGTTTTTAAGGTTACTGCGCTTCAATTATTCTCATAATTTCTGTTTGTTTTTGTTTTTTAATTCTTTATTTTTGCAAGTGCATAGATAATCACAAGTTTCAATACTGCCAGAGAATGTTACAGTAGTCGACAATTGGTGACATTTTGGTGTCAGCTTCAAGATACGTTACCCTTTTTTCTTTTTTTATAAGAATTCAAGAGTAAGCATAGACAGGCATAACAGAATAAAATAACAATCAGTTTATACATGCTGTCTAAAACAATTTTGCTTGAGATCATATTACTATAGTTAGTCATATATTGCAAGCGATCTGCACAATTTTAAGTGCTTAGTTACTCATGGGTTAACTTTAAGGTAAACATAAGAGACAAACCAGTAAACACAGGCTAAACCAACATGTGTTTTGTCAGGTGTTTTGCGTTTTGGTCGAGCAGGCTAGCCAGTCATGGTTATTCTATAGCATGCATAAATCTAAAATGTAGTATGGTTTAAAGATTAAATGAAAAAGGTTATTTGCTGGACTATATAGTCAAACATGCTATTCTATATGGTAGACAAAGGGAACTGGTTTAAGACTTGCTATCTAGTATTGGAGTTTACTAATAAATGACATGTTGCTGTAAAAAGGGTCTGCTGTGTCTAGAGCATGGTCTCAATACTTTGGCAAAAGAGCATATGCTCATTCTTTGGTTTTAGGTACTCGCCTTGGGACCCTAAAAAATGTGTTGGGAGTATATCGGAGTCTTAAATTTGAAGGGTGCGCCAAAGTTCAACTCCCAGGCCGGGCAGCATCCGGGTAGAAGCAAGGGTCCCATGGTGTGAGTGTGGGCTATGGATGGAAGCCGGATGATGAGGCAGTCCCCACGTACCTAGCCGATGCCCGTTCTGGAGGCCATGGTTGCGGGTCTGGGGCGGAGGTGCTGGTCCGCTGTGGCATCTTCTTATTGCTGGCTGAGTGTGTTTGGTGGCTGGGTGTCTCTGCCCTTCGGGTCTGTTTCAGCGGTGCTGGCTGTTTGGTGGGCAGGTGATGTCGGCGGGCGCTTTGTCCAGTGGCGATGCTTTTTGGGTTGTGGGACATTGGGACCCCACATGGTGGTGGGTGGTCTGCTGAGGCCTCCCGCAGGTGTCTTTGGTGCTTTTGCTCGGCCTCTGTGTGGTTGCTTCGGGTGGGTAATGCCCGGTCTTTGCTTCTTCCGCTGGGTCTCCTTGGCTTGTGCCTGCTCATGTGGTGGCAGCGCTTTGCTTGAGCGACCCGGCTGCGTGTTGGGGAGTGTGCAGTGGCTCGTTGCCAGTGTAGCAGGAACCGGAATGGGATGTGAGCGCCTAGGTCCCAGAAGCGCAGGCATACCGCGTCGCATTTTGCCCTGGAGGCCTTTGCCCAGTCCTCCTTATCTTGTTGTCAAGGATTAGCAGCCCTGCCGTCGGCCATCTTGGCTAGGCCTCGTGGTGCCCCCCGGGCAGCGTGTTTCGGGTCTGTGTTCCAGAGGTAAGTGCTTGCCTTATGCTGGTGGACCGGGATAACCCCCACCGGTCCATGGGGGGGGGGACTGGAATCTTTCCGCATCGAGACCCTCAGTCGTGGCGGGGCGAGAGCGGCCGTCTCTCCTGCTCCCACCTGGCAAGTAGGCCTCCGACACTCGTCCGGCACAAATTGCTTATTTCGTCACTTGAGGGGTATCATTTAGTTCTGCTCAGTGTTCCCAATCGATTGCTGTCTCTATCGGCCCGATTAGTCTCCGTTTGGGTCAGGAAAAGCAGTTTATTTGCTAATCCATGCAGGAGCCCATGAGGTTGTCAACTAGTCGGTTCTGCGGTCAGGCCCCGCCCCCCATCATTTCTGTTTGTTTTTAATAACTGCTCTATTTTTCCTACTTGCACGTCTATGAAAAACTTCTCTGTAAAGGTGACAAATGCAGATTTATGTTTAACTTTAGGTTTTATTTATTTGAACATTTAACTTGAGCATTAGGTGGCAAATGAATTGTAATTCATCCAAATTTTGTCTGATTATTCGGTCATCCGAATTCCATAACTCTAAAGTGCCATATAGACGTATTACAAAACAATTACACAAACAATAGGGAATAGGTTTGTTTGATTCGTGTTTCGGTGTTCCGTCTGTGGCACCAAAACAAGAGATGATTGATGGTTAGGAGACCGCCACTAAATCAAATAATTGAAGAAAGAAATAAAGAAATAAAGGAACTACATAAAAAAAAAGTTAAACATCCAAGAATCAGCTGGACTGAACCGCTTCGTCTCCGGCACGCCCGAGATACTTCCCAGAAGAGGAGGACGAATTCACCCTTCCCGCGCCCCTATCCATCCTAGATGAATGGCGGGCGGATCAGTCCCCCTCAGAGGATGAAGGCGGGTGGGGTGGGGAAGAACCGGAGGAATTGGCGTATCGACAGGACGCTAGCGAAACCACCTCGGAAAACCTCCACTCCTCCTTTGGGGAGGACGTGTTCTTGGATGCAATGGGTGAACCCCTATTTGACCCACACACCATCCAACACCCCCGGTCTCCTGAGTGGTCTCTACCCGAACATCTGGCCCAGTTCGTCCATTATTGGGTTAGCAGAACCCTCGATTGGGCAGTTCGGAAGAGGTTGAGGGCGGAGTGCCCCAGACCCACCTTACCAGACAAGGTCGCTATGACGCCCGAATTCGACCCGATGGTCTCCACCTATTTGACCCGGACCGGTCACGATCCCAAGAAAGGGGTCGAACGCAGCTTCCGCCTTGCACAAGATAAGGTGCTTGACATGCTGGGGCCGCTAGCCCGGATCCTTACCATGGCGGACAAGGCTGTCTCACAGGGCTCGTCCCTGGACCCTACTGCCATCAGAGATTGGGCATTACGCTCCATTTGCCTGCTGGGCAACTCCAATGTGGCTTTATGCACGGAGCGAAGAAAGGCGGTCCTCATGCGCATGGATGCTAAATTGTCGGAGGTGGGAACCAAGGAGCTGGGACCATTGGCCAAAGGACTACTATTCGGGGAGCCCTTCATCAAGGAGCTCCAGAGACACATTAACCTCTATGCTACTCTAAATAAAGCGCAATCATCAATGAGAAGAGTGTTCCGCTCTCAGTCTTCTCGTGTTTTTGGCAGGGCTGGGGTCGTACCTCCAGCCGTTTCTGGCCTTCGAGTCACAGAGGATCCCGAACACCATCCTTCTTCCCCAGCTACCGCTCTGGGTTCTTCACCTCCTGGAGGTTGGACCGTGGCAGAGAAAACCAGGCACGTGGACGAGGCAGGTTGCCCACAGGTGACACACATGACACCACATGTCTTTCACAGGCATTTGCATGCTGGCAGGTTCTGTTTTTTGTCTCGACAGGTGGCGGGACATCTCTTCGGACGCATGGATCCTCCAAACGGTCCGAGGTTATATTATAGACTTCCATTCCCCACCAGTTCAGGAGACTTCCCCCCAGACTCCGGTTTTGTCGAGGGAACTACAGGTGCTGGTGGATGCCGGGATACAGGCCCTCTTCGACAAAGGGGCAGTTCAGTGGGTGCCGGACAAAGGAGGCTTCTTCAACTCCATTTTTCTAGTAAGGAAGAAGACGGGAGATTTCCGTCCGGTTATAAACCTGAGGAACCTGAACGCCTTCATTTCTTATCAACACTTCAAGATGGAGGGCATCCATCTCTTAAGAGACCTATTACGTCCAGGGGATTGGTTCACTCGCTTAGACCTAAAGGACGCATACCTGTCCGTTGCAGTGGCATCTGATTGCCGTCGATTTCTACGCTTCTTTTGGAAAGGGAGGCCATGTCAATTCACCTGCTTCCCTTCGGTCTCAGCTCGGCACCGTGGTGTTTCACCAAGCTGTTAAAACTGGTAACGGCATGCCTGCGTTCCAGAGGCATTCAGTGCCTGATATATCAGGACGATTTGCTTCTTTTGTCTGAAGACGCCTCCAGGCTGAAATCTCAAATGGCCTACACGATCTCCTTGTTCGAATCTCTGGGGTTTGTGGTCAACCAAGAGAAGTTGGCCCTCACGCTGACGCAAGTAGTTCAGTTTTTGGGATTCAAAATAGATGCGATTCAGTGCATCCTATGCCTCCCTCAGACACAAATCACGGCCATTCGGAAAGAGATTCGGCATATCCTACGCCAAGATATGATCACACTCGGGGTCTTGGCATGGGTAGTGGGTCTCTTATCCGCATTAATCCAAGCCATCTACCAGGGTCCCCTTTACTACAGGGCCATGCAGCGCCTGAAAGCACGCTTCCTATGCCGGAAACCCTCGTACGACCAGCGGATTCCTCTCACACAGGAAGTCAAGACCGAACTTCGCTGGTGGCTGTTACACATGTCGGGCTTGAATGGCAAGGAAATTTTCGGACCGACCCCGGATTTTGTCCTAGAATCGGATGCGAGCCTATGGGGTTGGGGGGCGACTTGCACAACCACCTCCAGAGGAGGCCCCTGGTCGAGCACGGAGGCAGGATATCACATCAACTGCCTGGAAATGATTGTGGGGTCATTCGCTATACGCAGCCTTGCGGGTCTCCTGTCAGATTGCTACATCCTGCTGAGGATGGACAATATATCGGCGGTGCAGTATATCAACCGCCTGGGGGGAGCCCGCTCACGGACACTGACAGAAGTCACAAAGGAGATTTACAACTTTTGCCTTCAGGGCAATATCACTCTCCAGGCAGAGTATCTTCCAGGAGTGTCGAACCTGACGGCAGACTGGTTCTCCAGACACTGGAGGGATGCCAGCAATTGGTGACTACATCGACCAGTTTTCCTCGAAGTGGCACGACAAAGGGCCTCATTCATGGTGGACCTGTTCGCCTCCAGAACGAACTTCCAGATCCCGAATTACTTCAGCTGGCTCCCAGATCCGAAGTGCGCAGCAGTAGATGTTTTCCTTCAGGACTGGCCGTCACGGGGAGCCTATGCATTTCCACCATTCACTATGATCTCCAGGGTCCTACTCCAGTTACGGCGTCAACAAGTATCGTTGGTGTTTCTGACGCCTCTTTGGCAGGGCCAAGCCTGGTTCCCAGAATTACTGGAACTGTCATGTCGGGATCCGCTTCTTCTCCCGTCCCTGCAAATGCTCCTGTCAGATCCAAGAGGCAACCATCATCCCCTCGTACTGGAGGGCCATCTCCACTTGGCGGCTTGGAGTCTTTCAGGGGTACCTGGAATGTCAATGAGCTATCGGGATCAGCTAGAAACCTCCTTTGGGACTCATGGGCCCCAACACCGTTTGGTGTTGTTGGTGCGTGGAACAGAGTATTGATCCCTTTACAGCACCTATATCCAGCGTACTGAATTTCCTTTCTCACCTCTTCGACCAAGGAAAATCGTATCGTTCTGTGAACGTGGCCAGGTCGGCCATTTCAGCGGCTCATGTCCCTCTTCATGGGACGCCGATTGGACAAGACCCCTTGGTTTGTAGATTGTTGAGAGGGATCAGACTGTCACGTCCTCCGGCTCCTATATATACACATCGCTCTGGGACGTACACCGGGTTTTGGACTTCGTTCAGACATGGCCAGAGAATCAGGATCTCTCTCTACGACAACTGTCAGACAAATTTGCACTTCTTTTGTGCCTGGTGTCGTTTCGTCGGGTCTCCGACGTTAGGACTTTTGATGTTAACGCATTCACTTTTTCCCCAGATGGAGTGACCTTTTCGGTGTCGAGACGTACCAAATCCGACTCTACTGCCATTTTCTACCCATTTTTTCCTAAACTCTGTGTGGTTTCTACTCTGTCTCGCTATGTGGCAATTACTACCCCGCTTCGAAGTTCCCAATCGGGACAACTGTTGATTTCCTACGTACGCCCACATAAACCGGTTTCGGCCGTTACTTTGGCTCGCTGGATCCGATGGCTGTTATCATTGGCCGGCATGGAGTCCTCATTTGGTGCTCATTCGGTAAGGGGCGCGGCGGCATCAGGAGCCCTGTTAGCGGGTGCTTCCCTGTCCGATATTCTACGTTCGGCAGAATGGTCTCAAGAGGACACCTTCCGACAGTTTTACTTCAGACCGACGGAACATGCATCGTTTGCCCTACTGACTGAGCGTTGAAACAGCAAATATGAAGCCTCCTATCATGTTATAAAATTGTAAATTATCATAGTTTTAGTGTACCTATAATCTTAATTTTATTAATGACAGGAGGAGAATATTTCCCACCCTTTTGTTCCCGACCCTCGTTGTAAATTTTTTTTCTTGTATATTGAATATTAATAAAGTTTTATGTCTCTGATCAGTATTCCTGGTGATTATTTATTTCGATATTTTCAGTTGCCTAGGGCAGGGATCTGTAGACTTGGTGGTTTTCTCTACTAATTTGCACTGGGTGGCTGCATGACTTT